ATCAATTCCCAAAGTGGGCTCCACATGGATAGCTTATAAGCTTTGTTTGGAAAACCCATTTTTAGGACTTTCCACTTCAGTCTCTTTAAATAGCTTATCCGAGCACTTCAAAGCAGCTGGACCAGAGAGAGAGAGAGACTGTGACTATGATTGTTACTTGTATCATTCAAACTCCAAAGGAAAATGATGGCCCTGTCCCATTCAAAGTTTCAAACTAATGCCTTATGAATCTCCATTAGAATATTAGAACTACTAGAAAGGTGTAATTGCTAATGAAAACTCTGTAATTATCATGACCTCTCTCAGTCTAAGCCCATGGTTTTTGCAGTTCCACCAAGGACCCAACTCTGTGATTCTTTTCTGGGTTTCTCTCTGATCATCATTTGAGTGGTTTAATTAATCTATCTTCTGAATATAAAAATGCTTATCTGAGTTGCCATGCAGAAGAACTTAAATTATCAAACCCACACAAACCGGAGCCGTGGAAGTGATGATCTAGCTCTTTATAATAACCAGAAGCTTGACAAACTATACCAGAGAAGCTGCTCCTCCGCCCTATATATCCCAGCTTCATTTTATAATTTCCAGACTTGAGTATACGAAAAATGATCGCTTCAGATTTGATTTTGAGCGGCCTTCAATCCGACCAACCATATTGATTGGTCACGTACACAACGTAGACGGTGCCTTTGCTTCGTCCATGCCAGCCCCAACCCATCACCTTCACCTCTCAGCTCTGACTGAAAATATAGGGGAATACATGTACTTGTCTGTTCCTGCAGCCATCTCGGCTGCCATGCAGCCACTCACTACTTATCCTGCAATAATAGGAACCCATACCTCTGCCTCTGCTTCTCTACAGCTTAGCTGCCCTATTTTTTTCTGATCAGCTAGCTAGGCTGTAGCTGAAACCATGCTGCCTCTATCTATGAACCTTGATCACTTCACCACAGACCACAACATTCTGCCAGGCTCCAAGGTTAACTAGCTAACAGTTAAAGCTAAGATATATATATTCCCCTCAAAAACCAGGGCTGCTGGCTGCAGTGTCCATGCAGAATTGCAGAATGGGTTCTGAGTTCTGACTCTGAAGTCTGAATTCTGAACCTGGTTGGGGCCAGGACCAGCCCAGTTTTGGCCTGACTATATTTAGTTTGGCTTATGAGTTACATGAACTATGTAAGTCATACATCTGACACCTCTAAATAGGCCCCAAGGTCAAGATAAAGGAGACATTTCTTTCTCAAAAACACAAGCTAACTGTCAGTTAGGCAACTATATATATCAAATGAACAACTTTCCTGCCTCCTTTGGAACAACACAATTCACTTGTGGATTTGACAGCATAAACATGGCTAGTTCGAGCTCATTCCATCAACACATCGCCCACTCAATTAGAAATGAACATGTCTTCTGCTCAACTAAGAAGAAAGTAAGTTAATAATGATAGATCCCTCCACAAATATATACTAATACTAACTTATATCCAAGGATCAAAATATTGCAATGTATCAGGGCATATCCGTCGATACATATTATATTGGAGGCTTTTCGATATACTCTTGCAGCGGGTGTTTCAGGATTTGGCCTGAACAGGGTAAACCGGCCTTAAACCAATCCCTCTGAACCAGTTTCAAAAGAAAAAATAAAAATAAAACTAAAATTAAAAAGTGAGCAAAGGTACAGGCCAATACGCCCCTATCGATATATCGGCCTGTATCGATATTTTAAACCTTGCTTATATCTACTAATTAATAAATTTTTTGAGGGATTTTCTGTACATATACTATTAGAATGTAAATCAAATCCACATGCTTACATAGTATATCACTTTGTTTGTTGGCTGTATAAAACATCATGTATATTAAGCTTTAGTTTTAGATAGGTTAGCCTTTATTTTCTTGGAAATTGAAATTGCAGGATAACAAAAGAAGCTGAAGGGACAGTCCATCTTTCATACATACTTTGTCATCTCTATGAAAAAGAAGGGAAAAAAAGTGTTATCTACTTCCAAGCGGACCAAGCCATAGCATTATCTTGTACTTCAATCCTTAGCCTTACTCCTCAATCAAGTTATAGCTGTTACTGATTTGTGTTTTTTTTTTTTTTCTGTCTAGCTTTCAATTTTTGTTTTCCCTGAAAATTATCAAATTTTATTACTAAAAACCCAATATATAAAATTTAATTTTAAACATCTTTCCCTTTTCCTCTGGTTTTTCATTGGTGCATTTTCTTTCTTAAAATCAATATTTATAATTTGGAAGGCAAAAACAGGTTGCTTTCTTGGATGAATACGGAAAGCAAACCAAACTTTACTTACAAAAATGGATTTTCCTAACATTTACTTGCAACGGATAGTCTCCAACAAATTAGAAAAAGAAAATCTCTTTAATCATTAGGGAGCCAACTATGCTTGGTTGGTTTGGTCACCAACCCATCCACTACATGGGGTTTAACATCAACCACTTCTTTAGGTCTTTGGGAAGGGACCCACCTGATCATCTCATCATCTAACCATATGACAAGTTGTGATTATCGATTAGTTAATGAGGTTTCATCTAGTGTTCCAAGCATCATATCTAATTCTTCTATTTCTAGAAAATTTTTAATTCCTTATTTTCCATTTCTTTTGTGTTTATATGCATATAGGACTAGAAAAGGGATCTCTCTCTCTCTCTCCACAAAAGTCCAAGTCCTAAGACATGATCTTTTCCCCCAAATCCCGGGCGACCTTTAACCCTAGACAAAAGCATGTGATCTTCTCGGGGAATGTGCAAAATTCCAATATGACCCAAACTCCAATTAAAGAACAAGAAGCCTAGAAAAACTAAGTAGAGAGATGAAAGGAAGAAAGACCCACCACTGCCTTTTATACCACAAATCTCCCTTTTAAGGAACTCCATATAAAATACCTTTTATGTCCATGTCAACCCAACTTGTTCACTTCTTTTGAGATGGGGATGACTCTTCTTGGAGTATCCCAATTTGTAATTCATTCAAGTACATCGAGTCAGTCTGCAACTTAGCAAACCCCCTATAGAAGCAAAACAAACACTACTCTCACATCACTAACTCCTATTGAGAGTATCTTCCCAAGGTTCTTCATGTTGATTGGAAGACTGATCTTCTTAAATCAACCGAACTACAGCTTATCTTTGCATCACATTTTCTACATGAAAAATGGATTTATTTAATCTGAAACCCGAGATGGGGTTCAATGAAACTAATCATACTGACTAAGTGGAGGAGTCAAGACTCAGTCATAGATTCCATGTCTATGTCACACTGCAAATAAATTTTAGGTATTTTTATGTATATATTATAATTAGTCAGTCTAGTGATCCTCTCAGCTGTCTAAGTTTGGTCTACCTTGTCTTTTACATCTCACTTCTTTATTTATAATTAGGAAAAGACCACAGTAGTGCCTAGTGGGGACAAGTTTAGACCTAAGAAATTCCCATTAAAAACAAGTAATTAGGTTGACCAATTTTATTTTTAGCTGCTTTTTGTTGTTCCCAAGACCAAATGAGTTATAGAATTATACAAATGGAATTCAATCACAACTGTCCTCATATTGGATCTACTAATCAAAATAGACTACTTTCCCACTAAATCTTGTAGGTGTGTGTGCGGCTTGATACCTTATAATTTGATTGACCTTTTGACCCATAACCTTTTTTTCGAGACCATATACCCATCTTTCTCTTCTTTGAATTTTATGAATTTACATGATATAGAAGGAATGTGATCAAACAATTTTAAGTTTATTATACATACATACATAGACTTTGTAAGATTTAATATAAATATACACAAATTGTGGTAAACTATTAGTCCTAGACATGGTTCATGGTTCAGAGTATATATCAACACGCCCGATAATTGTGCAAAACATCGAAGAGGTGATACTTTTCAAGATTTAAACCAATATTTACGGTATTGATACACATTAATACATTGCGATATTTTAAACCTTGGTCCTAACATCATAAATTGAGACAATGTATCGGATGGGTGAACCCATTTGATAAATAATGGCAGTGGCATGGCTCCAATTCTTGACTTGTGGGGGCCACAGTTGTGGAAGATACCCTCTTGTGGTAGGATTTCATTGTGGGGTTGCTTCCATGTCATAAGAAAGAACCGTCTAAACCATTATGGCACTATCTTTAGGCTACATCTTCCACTTAGATAGATACTATCTAACTGCTCCCTTTGAAAATACTGGAGCAGACTAGAACATTTGAGATGAGAACAGCTGGCTATTGTTTTGCAATTCAAATTAATTTTTGAGATCCACCGGGACTAAGAGAACTCTCCAATAATTTTAGTGTTTTTATATAGATTTTAAGCATGATTTTCAAAATTGGACTGGACCGGACTGGAAAACCGGGAACCGGTCACTTGACCAATTCCGTTTTTTCCCAAATCTGTTTTTTTCCCCAAAACCGTTGATTTTGATCAGTAAACCGCTGAATCAGTCAGTTAATCATTCAAACGGTTTTGACCATTTTTTCAAATTTATTTTAATTTTTTTATTTTTTTGTCAAAATGGATTGGCCATTTGGATTAAACAGTCGGGCCGTTCGAACCGGTAACCGGATCCCTGACCTGTTCGGTTTTAAAAACCATGATTTTAAGTGATCTCACATTTTTTTTCATTTGCTTTTTATTTATATTTTTGTATTATATTAATTCTTCACTCTAAGCAATAGGACATTCTGAACCAAAAATCATTGGAGACCGGAAGAAATCAACTGTAACTCTTACAAAGTATGTTCTAGTTAACCCATTAATCTTATTTTATAAATATTTGAGTTGAATGTTATATATATATATATAAGAGAAATAAAAATAAGAAGTGGAAGGAAAAGAAAAATAGGATTTGAATGAGTGACAATTGCAAAATACCCTTTTCCTTGTGTCCCCATGATCAAATCAGAGTCTTTAAAGAGTCCCACCAGCTCTCTCATTCACACATTTACCCAAACTAAGAACTTCACTTGTTCAGCTTCCATTCTCCCTTTCTGTCTCTACTCTCCTGACATTCTTCTGTCCCTCTCTCTCTCTCTCTCTCTACCTCCTTCTTTATCACTTCTATACGCACTCAACCACATCTCCCTGACATTCCTCTGTCTTTGTCTCCGCCTCTCTTTCTCATTCTTTATCACATCCCCACCCCACCCCACCACCTACTGAACCATATTTCCTTCACTGCTGACTGCTTCCCCAATGTCGATGGCCAAAACCTTGGACAAATCCTTCAAAATCGGAGAAACTGGGTTAGCTCAAATGGGTTTCTCTCTACCCCAGCAGTCTAACGCATCCCCACCTCAATCAACTGAGCGGAGAGGCCGTAGAAAACAAGTGGAGCCAGGAAGGTTTCTCGGTGTCAGGCGCCGTCCTTGGGGCCGATATGCCGCTGAGATCAGAGACCCTACAACCAAGGAGAGGCACTGGCTGGGGACCTTCGACACTGCTCACGAAGCAGCTCTGGCCTACGACAGGGCCGCCCTCTCGATGAAAGGCACCCAAGCAAGAACCAACTTCATCTACACTGGAAACACCACCTTTCATTCCCTTCTCACACCTCTCGACGTTCAAGCCTTCTTACCACCATCGCAGCTACTCACCATCCCTCAACCTCAAACCAAACAATCCACCATCGACCAGAGCCTTCCATTTCAGCCCGACCCCAGTGAAACTCCCCTCCAATTCAACCAGGACGCGTGCAACAGTCCAGCGTCAAATGAGTCTGTGTTCGACAATAATTTCTTCTTCTCTGCTGATGACTCTGGTTCAGGCTACCTGGGGAGCATTATTCCTGAGAGTTACTTGCGGCCTCCTCCTTCAAACCCCACGAGCTTGAGCTCTGAAAAGAGTAGCTTTAGCGGCTGTTCAGATAAGCAGACCTTTTGCTCGACGAACTCGATTTTCACTAGCTCACCTCCGGAGATTCAGTCTCACTACAACGACAGCGGAGCTCCACCACCAGATATATTTGGTGGGTCAGCAACTGTAATGAACTCCGAGAATTTTCCCTACTTGGACGAGCTTGGTCAAGGCTTTTGGGCTGGTGACCTGCAGTCATGGGATCTCAGCTCCTGTGGGCTGATTGCTGCAACAGACAGCAAACCTTTTATGGTGGAAGACGAGTGCATGGAAGCTCTGTATCCCTTCATGGACAGTCCTGGGTACGAGTTCCTGTCTCAGGCTACTCACATAGAAACTTGCTCTCCATCTTTTCCTCCGTTTACTGATGTAATAGACTTGGGTTACTCACTCTTTTGAGGAGAGTTTCCTCATGAAGTAAGTACGTCAGTAGTCTGAACTTTCTCACACTAGTTTTTCACTTTTTCTTGCATGTTTTCTGCAATTATTCTGTTGCTGTGATTACACTGCAGATCGTAGACTTCCATCATCTAACAAAGCTAAAGGAAAAAAGAGAATATTTTGGAATCTCATCTAGCTTTGGTTCTTCTTTCAGTCCCAATAAATTAAAGCTTCTCCTGAAAGGAGACTCCACTTTGCAACCTTCTCCTGTGTTTCAACCTTCCATCAGTCGTTCATGTTCTGGCTTGTGCATATATAATCTAAAATACATCAGTGATGGAAGCAGTAAATGTGTCATTATTAAGCGTCCCAGAGCAACACGCAAATCAAATTAATGGGCCCCACCGTGGGCATGCATAAAATTGGGCCCACCGTTAGATGGAGCAAATCTAGAAAAATCCAAGAAGATAAACTGTAAAATGAGCCCATTAGCCATCAGCCCTGATATCAGTTGATACTTGAGGCTGAGCCCAAGTTTAAGTGCCCTTTTGGGAGGGCTTCCGGCATTCCGAACTGGGCCCCACACAGCTGAAGCTGTGTTGGACGAAAATCTGAAAAGCCAGCATTCCAAATGCCAGGGTTGTGACTGTAACCATGAAATTAATTATTCTGACTGGCTTACCTAGAATACAAGTGCTCAACCTAAGTGACTCAATTAACCCAGTTGGCCCCAAATGTCCCAAACGGGGCCTAAGCAGGCTTTGGTAAACAAAAAGAGCCGAGGTTGGGTAGGGCCGGTAGGCTCTGTCGGTATAAATACCACATCTAGTTGTGGTCGCCATGAAAAGGGCACTATAATTGGTGTCTGGATGTGCTTCTCACACTAACCTCACAGCACATGTCCTGTATGTTATTAATTATTATTCATGAAAAATATTCCTAATATACAGTGGGGATGGGATGTGAAGATTAAGCTAGTCCAACTAGCTTTTTCATGATTCCGAAAAGAGTCAGGCAATGCTGGTCTTCTGTTATTGTTACAGACACCCCAGGACGTTTCAAATTTCATCCGAAAGAATGTGATGGATCAGAATCAGATGATTACGAGAAAGCTTTGGCTGTTGCGGACGAACTGCGGACAGCCTAACCTAGGCTGTTGAAAACGTTCTGGCATGATACGTTAACCCATTCATGCCCTTGTTTGTTTTTTCGGTCAAAAGGAAATAGGACAATTACTCTTTTACCCCTCACCTAATGGTAACTTCTCATTAGACCTGTTCATGGGCCGGGTGGCCCGACGGGCCGGCCCGGACGGGCTTGAACAGGATTTTTGGCCCGCGGGCTTAACCTCGGGCCAAAAAGCCCGGCCCGCATAAAATTTGAGCCGGGCTCGGGCTCTGCTAAAATAGCCCGGCCCGACTTATAGTTAAACTTAAGTAAATCCGGCCCGACCTATAGTTAAACCTAAGTAAAAACCCTATGTGATGTCTATTTGAATCAATTTTTTGATTTGAGGTCATTGATTCACTTGTAGATCCATTGTTCATTTAAATAGTGGAAAAAACATTTAAATTAAAATAGAAAATGTCAGAAAATTTTGAATTTCTTTTATTAGATCGGGCTCGGGCTCGGGCTCGGACTTCGGGCTTTTCATCAGGGCCGGGCTTGGGCCCAAATTGTAGGCCCGTTGGTCGGGCCGGGCTCGGGCTCGGGCTCGGGCCTAACAGTTTTCTGTTAATAAAGAGTCAAAGCCCGGCCCAGCCCATGAACAGGTCTACTTCTCATGCATGAGAACGTTTACAACTTGGGATTGTGAAGTCATAGGAACAATGGCATACCATTTTCCACGTATTCATCCAGATTCACTTGGGGTTTAATCTTTTATGGGCGTTCTTTTTTTCAAATTTTGAGAGAAATTTGGTCATTGAGATTTTGATTCCCGTCACCAAAAAATCCATATTCTTTTATCAGATTTATGTGGAGAACAGGAAAAGTTTATTTTCTTGGGCATCACTTATCTGAGCAAGTGATACCCATCTCCTGGATGAATAAATAACTTTCACACCTGAAAAGAAAGTTACCAACGTTGCGACAAAAATATCCCTTTTAATGATAGATTTTTATGGCTAAAGTGATAACTACGTTATTTACATAATAAATAAAAGAATATGGACAGATACAGTTACTCAGGTAAATAATTTATCAAAGGGCAAACGAGACCTTAGAGCCCTGATGGCTGGGATGTGCTAGAGGCCTTTTAATTTATATGTACCAAGTATAGAATTGCTTCAACCAAATAATGCGGGTCACTCGTGTGCCTTCAAATATTAAATAATCTGCATGGTTTCCGATTTCCAGATGTTGCCTTATTCATGTTACCACGGCCTCACGTCAAGACGACCATCTTCAGAGAAATTTAAAAGACAAAAAAAAAAAGTGACTTATATATTGACTTTTGTCATTTCAAATCAAACGAGGGTTCGTCTGCGTTTTCAATTCCCATTGTGTCGGGTTTTCAATATCAATAGGAACCACAAGCTTATAGATTGGTAAGAAAGCAAGCAATGGTCGAAAGAAAATAAAAGAACGGAAGAAATCCCCCCAGTGTTGGTGTTATAGAATATAGACCCAAAGTCCTGTTGGGAACATTTACTGAACTTCCTAGAAAAAAAGTAGAGCTTCAGAGAGAGTTCAGACCAAACCATTATCTCTTTTTAGTTTACAGGGCAATGAATGAATGATATGCTACATTGCTACTGACCAGATTGACAGTCATCAAATCTGCGTCAGTAACTTACCACGTGTTACATTTTCGGCCTATGAGAGGTTCTCTCATCAGCGGGACCCATTCCCATCTAAACCAAAATGAAAATGCTCCGAGCAGGTGAATCCTTATCATATAAACATGGATGTGTTGAACTAAAAAAGACCAGAATATTGATTGTCAAAATTTATTATTTCATTCTCGGAAGTTGGGAATTTGGATGAAAATAAGGAGAATGGAATATTTAAACCGCAAAGGCTGTGTTTGGTTGCAGTACAAATAAATTTGCACTGATGCAAAACTATGGCAGTGCAAATGCTTTGGGTGTAAATTTTGATTTATTTTTGTTTCAAATTTTGCTTTACTTTGTTTGGTTGCAGTAAAAATGAAGACCTAAGGCAGAATAACCTAAAATTCAAAGCAAAATTAAATCAAAATTTACATTTTTTTTTCATTTGCACTCCCTTAAATTTGTACTAGAACAAATAAAATTGCACTGCAATCAAACACAACCTAAGGAACAAAATAACAAGAAACATACAAGATCGGGTTCGGTCAGGGAAAGTCCATGCTCACACTGTGCCAAGAACCTTTTGCAACCTTGCATCAGGAATATCTACCCATGAAATAAAACATGCAAGTATGGAGATATCCCCAATGCAAGACTGTAAAGGCTGGCCGAACTCAAAACAGACGGACAGTAGATAAGAAAATAGAAATGTCAATAACATTAGACACTAGGGATGGCAACAAGGCAGGTTCTAAAAGGGTTTTGTAAATTCTAGTCCCTAAACCTTTCAACCCATACCTGCCCCAAAACCCATCACGTGTTGGATTTTGAGAATCCAAACCCTATCCGCACATGAAAACACAAAACCCTATCCTCCCCGTATTCAAGGGTTGGATTTAGAACCCATATCTAATTTCCTATTATTTCTTGTCATATATAAAAATAAATAAGTAAAAACAAATAAACAACAAAATTTTCAATTATTTGGTTAAGACATGTAAAAAACACAAACTATCAATTATCTTTTACATGAAATCCAAAATATTATTAAATTCAACACTTGGAACATAGAGTTTATATGCTTTCCAACAATATGCAAGTGGGGGAGGGTTGGGTTTAGCCTAACCCTACCCATACCCATAGAAGTTGTAAAATCCTACAACCCATCTCCGCCCCAAAACTTGTCCTTCAAGCAAAAAGACCCACCCCGTCAGGTAGGGTAAAAATTGTCATCCAGCCCTCGAACTCTCCATCGAGCATTATTCGGTTGAAATTAAAAAAAAAATCTTTTCGGTTAAATTTTGATTTCGGTTTTGGGTTTTCAGCTATTTGATTCGATTTTYAGTTTTCAGCTATTTCAGTTTCAGTTTCAGTTATATATTATTCATTTCTAACCAAAAATCGGACAAAAAAAAAATCAACTTCAGCTATTTGGTTTGGGTTGATTTTTTTTCATTTATACTTCAATTTTAAAAATCTCGATTTATTCAGAACGATTTTAACCAAATAAACTAAAAGCTCACCCCTTTTAGTTTGGATTAAATTTTCAATTTATTCGGTTCAATTTTTAACTTCCCCCTAGTCTTCATCATACATATACACACACACAAGAATAATCCCAAGTTGGAAAGTTCCGCAAGGGATTAAACAGTCATTTCCCCAAATAATGTGAAAAGAAACCCCCCATTTGATAAGATGGCTTCCTCAAAAATCAGTAGAGGAATCAGCTTGTCACCATTTTTGTGACTTGGGATGACGTTCAAAGTTCTAGGARATRGCTCTWCCTTTGCAAATGCGAGGGATTTTCGAATCGATTACTTACAATGGCAGTGATACGTCCATGACAATAATGCTTTAATAGTTGAATGTTTGATCTTTAAAGAAATCGCCTCGTAACTCGTAAATATAATCTCTGCGGTTCTACCTACCTTTGCTGCTTTTTAGCTTTCATCCAGACCTCTGTTTCCAAAACCCATGTATCAAAATCTGGCATCTTTATTTTGAACCGTCCCCCTTGCCATCAAAGAGCTTGCTAGTCAGAGACTCACATAGACCTCTTTATCTTTTTGGCAGTTTAGTTTTTTTTTTGTGTTAGTTTAATATAATTCCCCTTTTACCCAGAAAAATGAATAATAAATAAATAAATGTTACCTTATATACATAGCTATAAAGCTTTTCTGGATGACCTCCCTGCCTCCCTCTTAAATCTCTAAATGAGAGGAATCTCACTTAAGTACTCAATTTACTGCCAAACCAATCACTAGTTCCTATTCAAAATTGGGCTTCCAATAAATTCTGTTCAAAACTGGGCATTTTAGACAATAATCCAAATCCAATTGTCAGGTTATTGCTAGTTTAAGATTAAGATCCTGGCATAAAAAAAATACAGAATCGTGATCAAAATTAAAAAAAAAAAAAAAGGAATAACTACGTATTAGAGTAGTTGGTTCAAATCCAATAAAATTTCCGTTCCAATATGTTGTGGTAAATAAGAAAATGCCTATTACCAACTGAGGCTGGTAGGATCTCTGACTCATAGCAGAGAACTGGGATCAAACAAAAATAAAAAGAAAAAGAAACTCTTTCACTGCATTAAAAAGTAGAAACATTAGAATACAATCAATCAAGCGCTATCACAGGTGAGGATTGAAAGCTACGTCATGAACTAGTATGAGAGATGCAGTGGTAGTGTTTGTCATAAATTGGGAAAGAGGGTATGACTTAATAATAGTATAAGTGGGGTTAATTATACCGTTATTAGGGATAATCGATAGAGGGAATTAATTATTAGTAAATTTTAGAGATAAATAAGGAGACGGGAAGTAGAAAGTGGATGCTTTGGATAGAAATTTTGGTATTTAAAAAAAAAAAAAAAAGAATCCACAGAAATCCTCACTTGCATACCAACTTAAGAGCATAGCTGATAGCTCAAGGATTGAAACACTACTCTAAAAAAATAAAAGCTTTTCACATTAGCAAAACTTTTATTTTAACCTACTGTCAGAGATGAGCGAAGAAAACCTTTAAACATCGTACACAACCAAATATAGCTGATTAGAAGATGGTGCATCATCTATAAATATAGGACGGTAAATAATCTTTTTATGGATACAGTAAATAATCTATTTTAGAAAATGCATGCAATTTTGAACTTTAAGGGTATTACTTGACTAATGTGGTCTTTTCAAAAAACAAAAATAATACAATTTACGTTCAAGGAATGAAAGTAAAATTGTTTCACATTTAAAAGATTGAGGGGTCTTTGACTATACCATGCAACAACTATAGAAATACACCAGGTACTTAAGACTGAACTGCACACACTGTTGTCAGGGAAGAACAAATTATTGCTTGGAGCAAGAATAATATCTCAGTTCAGTAGCCGCTGCTAAAGTATACTTCTTAATTTCTTATGCCAGAAAATGTTGCATGAGATGATACTAAATTAATTGAGAAAAATAAAGAAATAATTAAATTACTACAATGTCAAAGTTTCCTTTTTGTATTTAATAAATATAACAGCCATCATCAAGCAATGCACAAGTCTCAAAGACATAGCCATGTCTCCTGTCTCATATGTTGCATAAATGCAATACTACTTGACTTTCAAAAGTTACTTTTTCACAATAAACCCCTGGACAAAAAGGGAAGGGGAGCAGAAAGCCTTTAAATCCCATTCTAAGCTTTGGTATTTAAGCTTAGAACAACAAAATTGAATGCCCATTCCCAAGCTAAGACCAAATGAAGGGGGAAACAACAGAAAAGGTGGCAATACTGTTAAAGAAAAAGCAAGCAAAGTAGAACTGACTGATCCTTTTCGCTTCGAAAAGATCAGGGCATAAATAAATACAAAAGTACAGGAGGGGCGTATGTTTGCTTTCTTAAAGGGGTTTTCTTTGGTTATTAAAATGTCTACTATAAGGTTGCTATACCTATCAACAATGGCTATAGCTTATTCAAAATGAGAGAGTTGGCCATATAAAGATTGTATGAACACAAGCTGATTATACCTAATTTGGGCTATGACTGGATCTGTTGTTGGAAACCCGGCGACTGATAAATGAGGCTTTTATCTGGAAAGGAAGTATTGAATATATTATGTTCCTGGGGTACAAGGACAGTGAACATACCAAAATCATGAAATTTGATCCAGAGGAATAATGAGGACCAGATTTTGTAATGATCATCTTGAACTACGAGCCTCACTGCCATGCACCGTGCTACTGCTACCAGAAGATGAAGTGGATGTCTGACCAGAAGGTTGGATGGCAGAATGAGGAACAGGTCCACTCTTTGAGAAAATTGAACCAACTGAACCACTGGATGTGTTCTCAGAAGATTGTATTCTGGTTGAGAAAGAATCCTTTGATACCAAAATGAATTCAGGCCTTAGTTCTGAAGAAGAAGAAGATGGAGCCAGAGTAGCCAGTGAAGATCCAACTGGGTAAGGAGCAACTGGCATATCAGCAAGAGAAGATGCAGATGGGCTATAACTTAGACTCCCCATTGGATGATCAAATTTGCATGTAGGTCCGAATTTGCATATCCCATATTGTGTATAGAAAGCGCAAGGTGAAGCACCCTGTTAATCAAATAGAAGCTCAGATGCAATGTAGTAATGGCAATAGAGTTTATAAATGCACAAAAAACATTGCAGCATTATTAAATATAAAATTAACTATAAAACCAGATGGAAGAAGCAGAACAGGTAGATCAAAGAAACTTCAGCCAAAGAAACCATTTGTGCACAGAGATGAAGATAGAATACTGAGAAACAAGAAAAAGGGCAATGTAGACCCAGACAGCATCATAAAAAATAAGCATTGAAGAACCTTGGAACAAACACATCCAAAAAGAACAAAGTGCCCAACAATTAAGAATATTTCAGCTATATCTGAATACTGGAAAGGATACATGAGAGAAAGTATTATTGATAATGCATGCATACAAGCACAGAAGTGACATGTTTTCACTTAAACGCCTTCATTATCAAAATCAATAGAACCTAATACTAACTACTGTTGCTCCATGTCATCAATCACCTTCTACCATTCCAGTATATCAGAGAGAGTATCTCTATTAAAGCATAAATCTTCAGATGCTTTCCATCACAAAATGCAGGCTTCTCACCCTTCAACTTGATCCTCTTAAAGACATCTTGCTCCATGACACTTCATCATGGCATTGCTGATCCTTGTAGCAGATGACGAAACCATCTCAATCAACTCTGTGCTACCATCACCTATTAGGGTACCCAAGTTATCTTGAATTCATTCATTTATACTTTAATAGTCTTGCTCCTCATCCATCTCAACATCTTAATTGCAGCTATTTGTACCCTGTCTACTTCACAAAGTATGGCTCGTCTAGCAACCTCTTCATTGAAATATTTTAATTCAAAAATCACAGACAAATTCCCATTTCCTTATCTGTCCTACACCATATGATGTAATAACTTATGAATGTTTTTCATTCCCATCCACAATAGCTAGTTCAACTTCAACAGGTATTCTCTGTGTATCTTTGACCTCATACGGTCAGAGAGGTTTTCAAAAGTGAAATGGAAAAGGATGTCGAGTTACTTAGGCCCACTTGTGTGGGCATTGCACTCAGAGTCAAGTTATTAACTTTTCTATTGAAACAGAAAGGTCTAATTTTCACGGTGCGATGGTAAAATATTGAGCTGACAAGTGTGAGAACACAGGATGAAGTCTGAGAATGACCATTTTGTGCAAGAAAAAGTTGGAAGGTTAGGGTCCTTGTCCAAATACACCCCTCTCAAGATCCAGAAAACCAGGATTAATGTTGGATTATGGCCTCCCTTTTTGTATTAATTATCAGGGGCATATCCTATTTATAAAAAGATGCATGGTAAAAGGATGTGCAAAAAAGTAGAGAAATGCCAGTCCCATGACAAAGCTGACAAATTCAACCACTTCAAATTAAACCATTGAAACCAGAGCTTTAACCTGGGCAAGGTTGGCAAAGCTGAGGCCAAACCATCTGACCCAATAGTTGAACACCCAATCTCACCTAGTCCAATTCAGTACATGTTAAAAAAGGGTAAAAGAAAATTTAAAAGAGTAAAATCATCAGCAATCCATGCCTTATCCCAACAATATGGGGTTTGCTAACATTAATTGGGGTGAGAGAGGATCGAACTCTCATGTTCACGATTAGATAACAAAACCAATGTTTTCCAAAACCAGACAAACCACTGAGACCAGCGGTTTCTGGTTCAGCAGTTCAGCTGTCTGGTATTCTGGATCAGAATTATTACAACATCAGATCAATTTAAGCCATCCAAATTTAATACTGCCATTCTCACAATCCTGTGGTGTTGATGTAAGGAAGACCACCCAAACTGTCCTCAATTAACTGAACCTAAAGCCTACGGCAGTACCTGGTTTGATAGAAAATGAGTGAGAAACGGGCAGTGGTTGGGTAGATTAAAGATGAGAAGAAAGTGGTTTGGACTCAGAGAAATTATAAAGAATTATAAAGAAGACTAAGTGGTTAACAAGGGACATGGAGATAAGTACTCAATAGTCATTAGGTACCAAGGTTTGCAAATGGCTTTGCTGATTCTCTAGCTAAGCAAGGGGTAAATGGGACCAGTTGTATTGGGCTCAATTGCAGTCATCTGTAATTAATTGTACTGAGGTGAGGTAGGAAGCTCTATCTCTCCCAGGGATGCTGTGCCTGTACTTGTACATAATTTATGTTTATATTAATGAAAATTTTGTTACCTATCAAAAAAAAGAGAGAAACAGAAAGCTGAGGAGAAGTTCTTGAGAAATTACACGAAATTTGTTAAGAACTTTTCCCCAACTTTATATCTCTCTATTATTGTTTTCCATCAAACAAAATAGCCTTAAAAGATAGAAGTAAATAAAGAAACCAAAGCGCCACTCTTTGGGGGCATTTGGAACTGTAGTGTTGTCTGTTGTTTTTCCATTTGGAGTCCATGTAGGCATTTTGAATTCTTTTGAGAAAAAGGTAACTTTCTATTCAAAATAAATCAGGGGGGTGTACATTGAAAGATGTACAATAAACAAAAAGACCCCAACAGAACAATCACAAAGGTAGTGTTATTGATCAAAAAAAAAAAAAACAATCACAAAGGTAAAGTATTAGCACTGTACGAAATGGTGTTTGGTTGGGCATATTCAAGTACAAATGTCTGTACTACTCTTTATATCAGATTATGTGCATGATGTTGGAGGAAAGTAACAAGGGATTGTTTCCACTTCGGTTTTATACGTGGCATCCAGTGGCACTTGTATGTTTAAAACCACAATAAACAACTGTGCATTATGCTATATGCCAAAACACTTTACTTTCCTGATTTCCGATACTAAATTCAAGTACAAACACTGAGACTTGAAATGCCCATGGTGCCAAACACCATCATTGTTGAACCATATCTCCAACCCATAGTTGTCAAGGCGACGCCAACTAGCCCTTGGAGGCGAGGCTCGCCCAATCGCCAAGCATTTTTGTGTACTGTGTTATAAAATACTTTTACATTTTTTATTTTTTAACAATATAATTATAAAATAGACATTATTAAACTAGAATATACATTTTATGTGTTTATAATTGTATATACTAATTTCTTTTTATTATTTTCTTATTTGTTAGGGTTTAATCAACACAAACAATGCTAACTGCTGTATTGAACCCATGGTTCAAAGTATCAATATACCTCTGTGTATCGGCAGAGGTGTATCGGTACTTATAATGATACTCCCCCTATTTTTTTATTTTTTTGGTTTTCAATTTCATCTTCAAATATAAATAAATATATATATATATATATATATTATTTAAAAAAATGGGTTCCCGAAAACACCTATAAACAGGTGTATCGGGACCACAGGTGTATCGGGACCACAGGTGTATCGGGACCACAAAGATACAATACAATACGCCCGATACGGGGCGTATTGTATCAAAATTTTGATCCTTGATTGAACCGTCAAAGATTTCAAAACGTGAACCAATAAGCAAGGGAAGAACTTAAATTTTTGTCTAATCATCACATTTTCTTCTTCCACCTTTTCTTTTCCTATAACAAAAGTAGGGGTTCGGCCCCTATATTTTTTGAATTTTCCTTCCTTTCTTCTTTTTCTTCTCATAAAATGTTGATTTTCTAGACTTAAACATGAAATTTATACTTCTCTTATGAAAATTATGGATAGAAGTTAAGGAAAGATGATTATGGAAATGGAACCTAGGGAACTACCCTAGGATATATGGTTTTACTT